ACTTGAAAAAAGTAATCTGATTACGTAACTCGCGTTACTTGTAATGCGTTACCCCCAACACTGCTCATTCATACTAATAGACCTTAGTGGGTTTATGACGGTTGCAAACAGCAGCAGGTTGTTTATTTGAATGGTGCAATAGCTGCTGTGGCAGAAATATCATAATAACACAGTACTTTCATAAGCTCAATGTCTTGATCTCATGTACTTGCACAAACAGATCTGTGAAGGATATTTTGCTTTCATTTTTCAGCTGATCTTCCTCTGTCTACTGCAGCTTTAAGATTGCAGGCCTAGACAGCAATTATTTCTCACCATTTATTGAAACATGATAATGCCACTGTCACAACTGCCATTTGGCTGTTTGTTCAAAGCCAAAGTCTAAATAGCAGCCAAAACGATAATGAGTAATCAGATAACCATGGACTATTTTAAGTTTAGACTTTTTAACTTTAAATTCTCTTTTTTAGTACTAACTTCTATGTTTCTGTTAGATCACTGCATATAGTTATGTCTAGAAAAGATTATAATACATATAATTTTACACTGTAAAAAAGAAAAAGAAAGTTGTCAAGTTGTAAGTGTTTGTGCTGCCATAAAGTTTAAAATGTTAAGTGACAACTTGGATATTTAAGTTGAGTTGACTTAACTCAAAATTGTAAGGCAGCACATACACTTTTTTTTTTTTTTTTACATTGAAACAACTATTTTTTACAGAGTATAATTATTTTTTTCTTGGCCCCAAAAATTTTTTGGAAGAATTTTCCTGGATTTCTCATGAATTTTCATATATATTTGAGTATACAGTATATATTCAAATATCAAAATGCACCTATATATATATATATATATATATATATATATGACCTGGACGTTTCTTGACAGTTTAATGAGAGGATGAGGACAAAAGTGCAGTCTGCACCCTCTCTCACTGAGGGCCTCTGGCTGGTCTAGACCTGATCTGGATTACGAAGGTTCCTGATTTACTGTTAACAGATGCCTTACATTCACTCCCACCCTGAGACATGCACAGATTGGCTGTTAAGAGTGGCATTCCCCAAACAGGTTATGCAACTTTAACAACTTTGGGGCAGAGCAGCATCTTCTTGGTACATATCGTTTTCCTCTGGCATGAATGTCAGACATATTTACATCAAGGTGTTGGTTTCTATTTATCCAGCAAAGACAAAATGAATGGAAAAACCATTGTTTTATTTAATAAATGGATAGCAACTTTACTTGAAACACTGATCCCTTCTCTGTAAAGAGCAGAAATGAAAATGATCCCTAAGTGTAAGTGCTTAGTTCAAAGTGACAAGCCCCCTCTTTGATAGGATGAACATATATTCCTGCTGGCAACCTTCCAGAGGTGTTTTGGGAAGCGGGGGAAAGGTGACAAAGCAACACATGACTGTGACACATGTGTGTTTATGAACATCTATTTTTGTGAATAGCAATAAACAAACAATAAAATTAAACATTTTAAGTGGAAATGCACAACAAAATATATCCCAAATGATTTCTGTGACATTCATTTTATAATGAACTAAATGAATTAAAATGAAATAAGCTGTAAACATTCCAAAATTACTTGTAGCCTGTGTGTGTGTG